ACCTTTGTCAGTGTCAGCCATGTGGATGAGTCACAGCCATTGCTTGGCCAATGTGCTCTCTGTGAAAGCCTGAGAGAATGTTTTCTCTCCATGTGACACAGCCACTTTCAATTGTTGACATAATGTAAGGAAGTTTGTCTGACGTAGCCTGGCCAACCTGGGCAGAATTGGCCTACAGGAGAGTCCTGGGGTGCCGGCTGGGCTGGGCATGGAAGGGATTCTAGCTCAGCCCCTCATTTACAGTGACAGGAAGCATGGGGCTGGTTTATGACCAGTCTTCTGTGCCTGGTACCCATTTCTGCCCTTGAATTTCACTAAGTAGAATGAGAGATTTTTACACATGGAATTTACAGTGTATGTTGGCATTTTTACTGTGTTCAAAAAGACAGAAGCACTAGATACTTCACGCTAGAATTCAGACCACAGCAGTCCCTGAAAGCTACAGGCTGAGTGAGTGAGCAGAGTGCCAGGGACCGCTGTCACTGGTTTTTGACCTAAGATGTTTGTTTCTACAGGAAGTGCCTGTACACAGCGCAAGACTTGGTGGCCAGGCTTAGTGAGCTTCAGGTTCTCACCTGTCATCTGTCCTACCCAGGTTACTCTCTAGCACAGCTCTGCTTTTTGTTTTCTACACAGAGCTTTCAGTGGTTCTGTTTCCCAGCAGAGTAAGCAATTTTTTCTTTTTGGAAATCAAGAATGTGGCCTGACAGATGACTACGGATGTCTTCGTGCCGCTGCACTGGGCTTTGTTTTCCTGTATCTGTGCCTTTGCTGTGGCTCCTGCACCTTTCACCCTACTGCACACCCAGGTCCAAGGATCTGTAGTCTCCATCTTCACAGGTGCTTCCTGTGTTTTGTCCCACGTGGAGAAAACTGACCTTTTCTTGCTTGTGCTCTGGTTCATAGGAGCTCCTTAAGAGCAGGAACTGTCGTCACAGGACTAGACTTCCTGTGCTTGTAGGCTGTGGAGGAGGAGGCAGGGAACGCTAACCAGTGGAGCACCGGGGTTAGACAATACATGCCGGGGGTTCAGGCAAAGCTGAATAGATCCATGCTGAAGCTTCTGACTGAACTGTGAAGTTGCCTTTACTTTGTACAGTGTCTGTTGCACTGATTCGTTTAGGCAAGGAGAAAAGACTGAATCTGATGTGTCTGAGGAGCCATGGAAACCTTAGGAAATGTTGGGAAACTGAACGAAATGGAGATTTATAATAATGCCACTCGTTTCTATAATAGTCTTTTTTTCTACGTGTGGTGTGTTTCCGTGGTAGGAAAACTTAAGTCCTTATTTCTCCATTTCAGAGGCTGGTTCATCAGGAGAGGAAGATGGGAAGTGTGATGCATTTATTATATTTTGAAATTATTTGTTTTATATATATATGTATTAGGTACAGCCAACTGGAATTCCCATTTGGGAAGAAATGTAGGACTTCTGAAACTCAGGCCTTAACCAGTAGATTAGAAGACAAGACCAACTGAAGCATTATAAATGTATAAATGTGTGGGTTTTGTGTTTTTCTTTTTGCTTTTTTGAGACAGGGTCTCACTATATATTCTAAGCTGGTCTTGAACTCACTATATAGCCCACGCTGGCTTCAAATTCATGGCAGTCCTGTTGCCTCAGCCTCCAGAGTGCTGGGATTATAGGTGTGTGTCACCAAACCCAGCTAAAATGTGTGTTTAATTTGCTTGTTATTTCTGTCTTCAGTTCATTGTCTCATTTAATGATTTATTTTCATTTAATGACTTTTAAAATACTGTGTCTAAAGTTCATTTTGCATAATTATGGAGTAGACATGCATGTTTACATTTATGTAGAATATTTGTGCGATCTTTTTTGTGATTTATTCTTTTTTTTTTTTTTTTTTTTTTTGCGGTATGGGAGATTAAACTCAGGACCTTGCACTTGCCAGGCAAGCTCCTATTCTACTGAGCTAACTCCCTGGCTCTGATTTGTTGTCTTTTAAGGTCACTATATTTAAATAAAAATGAAAGGCACCTTTTTTTTTTTTACGGTACTGGGGATTGAATTCAGGACCTTATACTTGCCAGGCAAGTGCTTATTCTACTGAGCTGTCTCCCCAGCCCCTCAGGCAACCTTTTTTTTTTTTTTTTTTTTTGCAAAACTGGGGATTGAACTCAGGCCCCTGCGCTTGCCAGGCAAGCACTCATTCTACTGAACTATCCTCCCTGCCCCCGCAACCATATTAAAAAAAAAAAGAGCTGAGGATGGAGCAGAGGCCAAGGGCTAACAGTCAGTTGCAGTTTCTGTCCTAGGTAGCCAGCAGAGCTCCGTCTGAATTTAGTGTCTTCGGCTGCCTCTCCTTGACATGCACCCAGACATCCACTTTCAGTACAATGGGTTTTTGTCTGGGCTAATGCTGCTCTCCATCACACGGCTATTTCAGGTAAACATGCAAGTATGTAAGTAACTCCTCACCTTAGCATCGTTTTTAGCTTATAAAGATAACATTGTAATGGGTGGGAGATAAATTTGTGCAACCCATTGTTCAGTTTCCAAAAGCTATAGACATTTTTATTGGCTATTTTTGTAAATTCCAGTGATCCTTTTTGACAATAATTTTCATTACTTTGCAGATGAGGAAAGTATACTCCAGGAATTGAGAGTATGATAGGCCTAAATTAAGCTTGTGCTTCTATATTTCGTTGAAATCATTTCCTTTTTTCTTCTTTTGGCTCTTGCTGTGTAGTACAGGCTGGCCTCAAACTCAGTCCTCCTGTCTCCGCCTCCCAAGTGCTAAGATCACAGGCATGGGTCACCACACCCAGCTGAAATCATTGCTTTAGGAATGGAATCTCTAGCAGCTTTCACAATTTAATAGCTAGAATGGTGATGCTTTACCATAAGAGGCTTGTAGAATAGTATAATGGAAAATAGGGAATTTGGAATCATAAGATCTGGGTTGAAATCCTAACACTGATGACCTGTGTGACTAGATAAGAATTACGAAACTGCACTGGTTGCTTCAGGTTAGTTATATATACTATAACATCTTACTGAGTAAACTTTACAAACATACCTTCTTTTTTTTTTTTTTTTTTTTTTTTTTTTTGTGCGGAACCGGGGATTGAACTCAGGCTCTTGCACTTGCCAGAGAAGTACTTCTTCTACTGAGCCATCTCCCCAGCCCCTCTTTTTTTTTTTTTTTAATGTATTTAGTACAGGGTCTACAGAGTCTCACTGCAGATTGGACTCGTAGTGATCCTCCTGTTCTCAGCCTCCCAAGTGCTGGGATTATAGGCACAGGTCACCATGCCCAGTCTCCTTACAAACATTCTATAACCTTGTCTCAGTGTTGTCCTCCTTTGAGATAGGGTCTTGCTGTGTATCCTGACCAGACTGGCCTTAAAGTCTCGGTGATCCTCCTGTCCCAGCCTCCCAACTGCTGGAACTGCCCTCCTTTTAAAGAGGAGGAAATCAGAAATTCAGATTTCTGGGCAATTCTTATATATCCGCATTCAAAATCTCTGGGTTTGGAGTTTGGGAATCTTCCAAATCATTTTATTTATTGATTGATATAGAGTCTCGCTATGCAGTTTGGACTCGTAGTAGTCCTCCTGTCTCAGCCTCCCCAGCTGTGGGATTATAAGCATGTGCTACAATACCTGGTTCCAGGGTGGACCAGCATGGTACTGAGACCTTGTGCTTGGCAGGCAGGCGTTTATACCCTGCCGCCAAACTGTCCTCCAGCCCCTCCCAAATCATTTTGATACATTACCAGGCTTGAGAATTCTTGACTGAAAGCAAGTCATCAAACCACTTTAGCCTTATTCTTCTCGTCCATAACATGAAATTATTCTTGTCTTTTTTTTTAAAAAAAAAAAAATCGTAATGTCTGTCACAGACACTTTGATTTTGAAAATCAAATTCAAAAATTTCTTTTAATTCAAAAATCTCTTTACAGTTATTTGCTGGCGGTAGAGGCTAAGGGTATAGCTCAATGATAGAACACTTACCCACCATGTATGTATGAGGCTCTGGATTCAACCCCCAGCACTCCAAATAAATAATTAAATAAAAAATGAAGTTCTTGGGCCAGCAAGATAGCTCAATAGATTAAGCGCCTGCTTAGGCAAGTGCAAGCACCCAGGTTTAATCTCCAGCTCCACATCCCTTGCTGGCCCTGCTCCTGGGCTCACTGAGCTGGCCACTGAGATCAGACATGGTGGTACCTGCCTGTAATCCCAGCACTGGGGAGGCTAAAAACAGAAGAATCACTATGAGTCCAAGCTGCATAGTGAGACCCTGTACCAAATACATTAAGAAAAAAAAAATTTAAAGAATAATATGTTGCCACAGATTATATGGCTTTTTTTTCCCCCTGGGTATTGAACTCAGGACCTTGTACTTGCCAAGCAAGTGCTGTGCTGATGAGCTCAGTCCACAGCCCTGATACAGCTTTTATCTCAGCATCAGGTTTAGTACTCAATAAATATTTGTTGAAATAATGAATATGAACCCATGAGGCTCACTATAAGAAGCTGCTTGTCAGCACTTGTCTGTGTTCTTACATTGCCTATAGAGCACATTGCTTTTTTTCCTCTTTGGTGATGGTGTTTTTGCAATCCTAGGGATTAAACCCAAGGAATTCACACTGAGTAACATCCCCACCCCTTTTTATTTATTAATTTGAGACAGAGTCTTGCTAAGTGGCTAACTTGACCAGATGGGCTCAAATTTGCAATCCTCCTGCCTTAGCCTCTACAGTGCTGAGATTATAAGAGTGTGCCACTATACTCACTTTACCTTGAATGTTTAAAACTTTTCATTATACACCAAGTGTAGTGGTGCAGGCCCATAATCCCAGCTACTCAGGAGATTGAAGCAGGATTGCTTGAGTTTAAGAGTTCAAGGCTAGCCTAGCCAACATAGCAGAACACCACCTTCAGGGGGAAATGTTGCTTTCCTATTTTCTAATAAGGATGTTTGAGGCCAGGCTTGGTGGCATATGCCTGTAACCCCAACACTCAAGAGGCTGAGGCAGGAGGATCACTGTGAATTTGAGACCATCTTAGGATATAAAGTGAACTCAAGACCTTATTTCAAAAAGACAAAAAAAGTTTGAGAATAATTTTATTTTATTTTATTTATTTTTTTGGCAGAACCGAGGATTGAACTCAGGCCTTTGTGCTTGCCAGGGAAGCACATATTCCACTGAGCCATCTCCCCGGCCCTGAGAATAATTTTAGCTTTACTGAAAAATTGCGGTAGTTTATAGCTCACTCACTTTCCCCAATGTTACATCATACATAACCATTCATCAAGACTAAAAATCCAACTTGGTTCATTTCCATTTCATTGATTTTTACAGCAAGGATACTGTAATGCAATACAGTACTATTGCAATACTATACTATTGCATTTCACTTATTTTGAATTTTAACATTTTCCCACTGGCTTGAACCACCATTGGGTGGCTTGACCACAGGTTGTAGTATAAATAGATCTAATCACTTTTGTTGGTCTTTTACTAATAAAAGTAGTAAAACCCCTGCCCAATGGGACAGTTATGCATGCACCACTGGTGGTTCAAGCCACCTGGCAGTGAGCCGTAGGAATTATGGTCCTGTAGTTAACATGCTAAAGTGACATCTCTTTTCAATCTCTTAGAAAAGGCATATGGAAGGAGCATTTCTCTTTGCCGCCCTCCTGCACTTCAAGCATATCTATTTGTACGTGGCGCCTGCATATGGTGCATATCTGCTGCGGTCTTACTGCTTCACTGCAAACAAGCCAGGCAAGTTCTGTGACAGCAGACTGTTTTCCTCGATCATATTGACTCAGTGGCACAGCAGATATCTCAGTTATTAACCCTATAAAGCCTTTTCTCGACCTGATGTTTCTGCTTTTGTCACATTGTAAGGACAAGTTCATGCAGTATTGGAGGGCAGTGCTGGGGTCCCTTCTCCATTCTCCTGGCTAATGATAGTGTTCTGTCCCTCAGATGGCTCTGTCCAGTGGAACAGCTTCAGCTTTATCCGTGTTACTTCCCTGGGACTCATTGTGTTTCTAGTTTCTGCACTTTCATTGGGTCCTTTCCTGGCTTTGGTAAGCTGTTTTTTTTTTTTTCCTAACTTTTTTTTTAAACAAAGTAATACATTGCTTTTGTTGCCTAGAAAGCTTATTTAATCCAAAAATATATGAAGTAGGGGGGCCTGGCCTTAGCTCAGTTGTTTAAGTGGCTGCTTCCACAAAAATATATGAAGTAAATAAATATATTTACTTCATATATATTATGAAGTAATAATATATGCTTCCTTATGCTCACCAGTATGACTCTCTCAGAGACGGGGTATTGTTTCATTTTTGTGCACACTCAATATGAATGTGTACGTGTTAGTTGTACGTTACACACAGACAGAGTCAGTCCTTATTTGTGGCTTCAGTATTTCCAAATTCACTTAATTGCAAAATTTATGTAGAATCCATAAAATTAGTACTTTTGCAGTTTTTGATGGATAGCAAACTTTCTGAAGGGCCTGGAACATAGGCGGTGTTCACACGTTTGTTCTTCTTGTTCCCCAAGTCAGTGTTAATTTTTGACTCCAACTGAGGAGCACCACAGCTCTGTGGTCTCCGCATTCTGCACGCCCATGTGTGCCTTACAAATTCTCCCGTTCGTTATGCCTGCTTCTTAATGGTCCGGATTAGTGTTCATGGTGTTTTCATATGACTTTCCCATTATTCCATTGCAAAGATTAGACAAACAGAGGTATAAGGACTGGTGGAGGGCGTATAACCCTTCCCCCAAAGGAACAAAGGCCTTACAGCTTCCTACGCACTGCACCAGACTGTGTTCCAGTCTGTTTTAGCGCTGGAAAAGATTGATGACCGTCTAATCAGCTTCATTTCTCTCCTCAACAGAACCAGCTGCCACAAGTCTTTTCCCGGCTCTTTCCCTTCAGGAGGGGCCTCTGCCACGCATACTGGGCTCCAAACTTCTGGGCTTTGTACAATGCTGCAGACAAGGTGCTAGCCATCATCGGTACGGTAGCACGCCTTTTCACTTAGACTCTGAGTGTGAAAGGACTGGCCACGCTGACAAATGAAAGCCTCCTTGTGTTTTGGAGGTGGCAAAGTACTTGTTTGGGGCCCTGCATTTCATGGTTCAGCATAAACAGGGAGCAGTTTTCGGGACTGAGGCGTCAGCACAGTAAACAGACTGCAGCCCTTAGAAAAGCGCCTGTGACAGCAAGACTACGGGTGCTTTCTCTGGGGAGAAAGTAAAATGCTTCTTTTTTATTTTTATTTTTTTATTTTTTTGTGGTACCAGAGATTGAACTCAGGACCCTGCACTTGCCAGGAATTTCAGTAATTTTTATTTTCTCTCTTTTTGAGACACAGTCTTGCTCTGTATTCCAGGCTAGCTTTAAACTCACAGCAATTCTTTCTCAACCTCCTGAGTGCTAGCAGGACAGGTAGGCACCACTCATTTTTTAAAGGTAACTTTTGAGGGCCAGCAAGATAGTGCAGTGGACTAAGCACCTGCTTAGGCAAGTGCAGGGACCAGGGCTTGATCCCTGGCACCACATGCTGTGCTGAGGAGGCTGAAAACAGGAGAAACTCTGAGCTGAGTAGTGAGACCCTGTACCAAATGCATAAAGTAAAGGTAACTTTTGCCTTAAGTGAAACGTTATTCAACAGAGTTAGCTCTACTTTTAAGCTTAAATATATGAAAAAGCAAAATATAAAAAGTGTGACTTGTAACTTTGTGTGTATTAAGCCAGTAAGGAAAATGATAACCATGAATTTCAGCTGAGATGTAATGAAATAAAAAGCTTAGGCTAGTCTTTCTTTGGTTTTGGGATTTTTGTTTGTTTGTTTGTTTTTATGTTTTGTTTTTTGTGACAGGTTTCACTATGTAGTCCAAGGTAGCCATGAACTTGTGGTTGTCCTGCCTCAGCCTCCCCAGTGCTAGGATGACAAGCATGTGCCTCCAGACCCGGCAAGGCTGTCCTTTTTTAAACAGGGTCTCATTATTTGCCCAGCCTATTCTTGAATCCGTGGAGTCTGATGATCTTCCTGCCTCAGCCTCCTAAGTGCTGTGATGCAAGCATATGCCTCTATGCCCAGCTTAGGGAGTGTGTTTGTAGTTATTGCTATCCAGGGTCTCACTGTGCAGTGCAGGCTGGCCTTGAAGCCACAGTATAGCTCAGGCTGGCCTTCAACTTTCACGGGTCCTCCTGCCTCTGCTTCCTGATTGCTGGAATTATGGGCGTGCATCACCATGCCTTGCTCTAGGCTCTGTTTTGTATGTTTGAGTCATAATGAAAAATAATGTGTGCCTGGAGACTGGTCTGTTAAAAGTAACTCTCTGAAAAATAGCTCACAGATCTTATCTGTGGGACAGGGCCAGGGCAAGAGCATGGTCAGGAAACCTTTTCTGTAACAGGCCATGCGTAAGTGCCTGCCTGGCATGGACAAGGTTCCAAGTTCAATCCCCGATACTAGGGGGAAAAAAAGCTACAAAATTGAAAAGGCATGCAGCTCAGTGTGAATGTTCAATCTCTAGTGTCATACACACAAACACATGTACGCATGTGTGTGCGTGTAAAAAGCCAAACATTGCAATGCACACCTGTAGTTCCAGCTGTGCAGAAGGTTGGGGCAACAGGATTGAGTGAGACAAAGTATTTGAGGCCCCAAAGTAGTGAGACCTCTCCTGTAAAACTACAAATCATTTATACTCAGAGAAACAGGCACAGGCCGGATTTCGCCAGTGGGTGGTAGTGGTTGGCTGATCTAGAAAACGCTAACTTGATGTTGGCTATCTGGCATTGCCACATTATTTTCTCCCTCTTTTTTCTTTTCTTTTTTTTTTTTCTTTTTTTTTTTTTGCACAGGGTCTCACTATACAGATCAGATTCGTAGTGAGCCTCCTGTTTTCAGCCTCCCAAGTGCTGCGATGACAGCCGCATGCCACCACGCCCAGTCTCAATCTCTGCCTCAGATTTCCTCGAGGGAGGGGGTAGTGTTGCAGGGCTGGCACCACTGGCGCAGCAGGCCAGGGATTGAACCCCGGTCCCTGCACCTAAGCAGGAGCTTTAGTCCACTGAGTATGTGGCCAGCCCTTGCTCCCTGTTGTACAGTGCTGGCAGGGATCTAGTGCTTTTGTTGTTCCCAAAATGTATGTTGTAAGGAACAAAGCCAAGAATAAGGACGTGCTAGGCTATCAGCAGTGGGGACCTCAGAGCCCCACAGGCCCACATTCATGTCTATCTTAGCAGTTTTGTGACTTTGAGCAAGGTTTTGTGTTTAGGGGGGCAAAAGTAATGATTGCTATTTTTGTCACATAGTTACAGGAAATTTTTTTTTCCAGTCAGATTTTATTGGTACATCTTAAGTGTATGTGTGTGTTTGTTTTGTTTTTGGTACTAGGAATCAAACTCAACAACCTTACACTTGCTGGGCAGGTGCTGTGCCCCTGAGCTGTATTCCTGGCCCTGTTTTTTGGTGTTTCTGAGGCAGGATTTTACTGTGTAGTTCAGACTGTGGCCAGTGACCCTCCTGTCTCAGCCTCCCAGGTGCTGGGATTGCAGGTGTACACCACCATACCCCACCTTTATTGCTACATTTTCTATATGCATAATGATGGCATTCATCATAGAGTGTACCTAATTGCAGGAAATTGTAACTTGGCATTCTCCCTCAGTCACTGTGAATCTAGGCTTCGTGTATGTGGCATTCTACAAGTAATTTCAGACATGTGTTTCAAAAAAAAGCTTTAAAGAAACAACCATCAGTTTGAGGTGTAAAGGCCAGTTGCCTTGCATAAGTTGGGAAGCTGCTGCACCTTGCCTTGTGCTGCAGGGCCTCTTATTGCCTCTCAAAGGTGTCGTACATGGAGAGTCAGTGGCAGGCTAGACAGTTAACTTTCAGGAAAATCAACACGCTGATGAGGCAGGGAAATAGGGGAAATAAATAGAACGTATTTGGGCAGCCTGTGTATTTCCCATGGCGTACAGTTTTCAGTGGCATTTGATGGGGCTGCACAGTGCTCACAGTGTCCATGACTACTCTGTTACCGAAACCTATTTGGGATGGAGCTTGTCATTCCAGACTTTGCTCATTTAATGTGCACACAGTGTGACCAAATGTCTAGTGAATGTTTGAGGTCTTTTTTTCCTCCTCACTTTGAATGTGCTCATCCCATCATTCTTGTGACTTTCTGAAATGGTTCTGAATGTCCTCTTTCATGAATATCTTGGGGCTGAGGAGATAGCTCAGTAGAATAAGTGCTTGCCTGGCAAGCACAAGGGCCTGAGTTCAATACCCAGTTCTGCCAAAAAAAAAAAAAAAATGCAGATGTTCTAGGATAGATACATAGCTACATTCTCTTAATTCAAGGAATAGTGGGATTTGTTGTAATAGTGTTTGTAAATAGGATATCATGTCTGCATCTTGTACAACAAATAACCACTAGGAAAGCAGTATGCAATGTGTTAATTATTGGAACTGTCCTACCAATTCGATTTGAAACTGTCTCATTGCTATTTATTTCTCAATAAAATTATGGAAAAAAATAAAATAAAAATGAACATCTTTATGAGGTATGATAAGAAATACAGTGAGTGCTGCAACCATGTGCCACCCAAAGGAAAGGGGGTCTCATGAAACATTCCAGTGTGTCTTCATCTGCCCCGTGCACTGGGTGCGGCACCATGTGACTTCTAGCTGTAGACCAAACTCAGAGTGAGGGACCATGAGAGGTGAACAGCTCGAATCTGCTCAGGACCTCAAGGCAGGCTCCGCAGCACAGCTGGACATACTGACAAATGAGAACTTCTAGAACTGCTTCGGGGGTGGCAAGGATGGATGCAGAAGTGTGCTTGAAGCAAGAGGAATGTTGAGAGGACGAATGGCAGTCTTACTGTAATTAGGTTCGCAACTTTAAGCTTTCTCTATTTCTCAATCACACCTTGTGTTTATTGAGCTCCTGTATCCTGGGAGTAGAAATGAACTCATCCTTTCTGTCTTCAAGGAACACAGACAGACCAGGAGAGGAAGTAAGCCCGTAAACAAAGAGTAGTGTGAGCACCAGAGTAGAGGGCTCACCAGAAAAAGCAGATCTGCTCGACTTGGGAGCTTTCTGGGGTGAGGAATCCAAGCAGGAATTAATGTGGCAGAATGAATAGCCGCCCCTGGCTGAGGGAGCAGCTGGCGGAGGACGCAGGTGTCAGGGCAGCATGCTCCAGACCCCCAGTCAGGTCATGGTGGCCAAGACACACCTGAGCGGAGATGAGGCTGCAGAGGTGGGAGGGGCCGTGTCATGTGAGACACTGGGTGTTGCTTTCAGAAATGAACTTTCTCCAAGGATTTAGGATTGAGGAATGTTAAAAGAGCGAGGTAGCCAGGGATATAGCTCAGCAGTACAGCACCTTGCCCAGCAAGCACAAGGTCCAGAGTTCAATTCCTACTCCCCAAAAATAAGTAAATAAAACAGAGCGGGCAGATCACTGTTCACCCACTGCTTGCTCAGAAGTTTGAATTGCACAAATTCCCCATTCCCGCTGGGCGTGGTGGTGCATGCCTGTAATCCCAGCACTTAGGAGGCTGAAAACAGGAGGATCACTATGAATCCCATCTGTGCAGTGAGGCCCTATAGACCCTGTTCTAAATATATTAAAAAAAAAGAAAAGTGTTCACCATTACTGCATGAGGCTTTTGGTGACATCCAGATACAAACCGTAGCAAATGCACAGTCCTATTGACTGATAAAAAGAGAATAATATGTCTGCTTGTTTGTTAGGTTTGAAACTGAAACTTCTTGATCCCAGCAAGGTCCCCAAGGCTTCCATGACAAGTGGTTTGATTCAGCAGTTTGAACATGCAGTGCTTCCCTCAGTGACTCCCTTGGCAACCCTCGTCTGCACTCTGGTTGCCATATTGGTAAGAATTCAGCAAGTTGTTCTGACTTCCTGAATTTTCCATGCTCTTCTATTGCGTGGTTCATTGAATTACAGCTTTCAAGCTTTTCTAACACAGGATAAATGTCATAGCTGCAGTCCTGCAGATTGAATGATTTCCTAGCAATTCTTAGAGGAATTCTGAACATGGTAGAGAAGGATTTCCAGTAAAGCCTCTGTGAGAGGAATTCTTACCAATGGCTGTTAGCCCATCTATCTCCCCTGGGGTGAAGAATAGAGAAAAGGCTGAGAGGGGGAGGCAAGGACCATGCTGTGGAGAAAGAAGGAATCTATGGCAAGAGCATCTGTTCTGGCTGTGTCCCGATGTCTCCCCAAAGCCTGCATACAGTAGGGGGCGTTTTTTCAGGGTTAGCTGGATCTGAAGTGTGTGGTGCTGGGATTGAGTCATGGTGCAGTGCTAGGATCAAGGGCACGCGGATTGAGGGTGTGCACGCTACTTGCCCTGAGTAGCCAGGATACATAGGACACAAGGATAGAAAGAGCAGTGTTCGCCCCTTGTTCCTTTTGCTCCTTTCTGCCTGTCATGACCTGTTTCTTCTCTGATGCCACCCTGCCTTCGAGCCAGCCCAGGATGGGCTGAAACCTCTGCCAACTGTGAGCTAAATAAAGCTTTCCCCCTCTATCTTTGGGTATCAGGTATTTGTCTCTGCAATGAGAAAAGTAACTAAGACAGCATACAGATTTTGTTTCATCCTAATTGAAGGATCCAAATTCCTAACTTGTCCGGACAGTGTGGATGTTTTATCTTAAATGTGACGGGTTGGAAGTCGGCAGGGCTCCACGTCAGCTCAGTTTCCTTGGAATCACACATTGTTAATGCCTTTGCCCACGCTTGCTGGTGGTCATGGTCACCTCAGTGTCATAATATAATTTTATTAGAATTCAGTATAAACAACTATTGATAATTACACTCAGCTAGTTTTGGTTTTTGAATGATCCCAGCTGACTCCATTTGACTGTGTGGAGTGTGTTCACCTGCTTTACTTGAGGTCAAAACTTCTTGTCTAAAATCTCAGTCTCGTGAAGCAGGCTCGTTGGTGCACACACCTATAATCCCAGCTACTCGGGAGGCTGAGGCAGGCTGAGGCAGGAGAATTGCAACCTCAGGCTGGACAACTTAGTGAGACCCTGTCTCAAAAAATATTATCTCAGTCCTGTGAACTGCACATAAAGGGCAATAGTCCACAAACTTGATGTTTATTAACATGGTAAACTCTAACTTATTAGCCCAAAAATACCTATGAGCTTTGCAGTTTAATCTAATGGAGTCAAATGAATATTAACTAATTATACAGATACAGTCAGTATTACGTTGTATGTTCTAGAATAATGAGTTAAATATGTTTCCAAATGCCTGCTTTCTCTTGGTAGTTGCTTCTGTGTTGGCTTTTGGCAGCTGTGTACATGAGTGATAAATTATCCCAATTTACTGGAGGGCTGCTGTTTTTATTGCTGTGCTGATCTGTGTTTCAGAAATGATGCTGATCGTCTTTGTCTGAACACTGTTTCTTCTCTAAAGCTCAGTTGTAAATGACACTGAAGCTCCATGTCTGCCTGTTGTTTGTAGCCCTCTGTCTGCTGTCTCTGGCTTAAGCCCCAAGGGCCCAGAGGCTTTCTCCGATGTCTGATCCTCTGTGCCTTGGGCTCCTTCATGTTTGGGTGGCACGTCCACGAAAAGGCCATTCTGCTCGCAATTCTCCCGATGAGGTAAGCGGACAGCGCGGCCAGTCAGCACTGTGGAGGATTTCAGTGTGTTGCTGTTCTCCTCAGTGTCTTACTGTTGTGCGCTCCCTGAGCTGTTCAGTGGGATAGGCAAAGGAACAGAGAGCTCCTTAGCCAGATAGGTGATTCCCCAGCGCTGGGATTACAGGCATGCATCAGCACGCCTGCACTCTGTCAGGGCTCAGGATCAAACCCTGGTCCCTGCACTTGCCAAAGCAGATGCTTAGTCCACTGAGCTATCTTGCCAGCCCTTGTACTGTACTTTAGATTTTCCGAACTATTTATTTTTGGTTTTGCATTGTTTCTTTTGAGCTGGTCAACACTTAAGATAATTGGAATAAATCAGTATCATGTCCCATTTTGACATCTGCAGAAACTAGTACTCACTTTGTGCCCTTTCCAAAACCACATAGCTAGCAAGTAGAGATCCAACCTGATCTTATGATGCTGAATCTTACGATTTTTTTTTTTTTTTTCTGTATTTAGAACAGGATCTATAGGGTCTCACTACATAGATCAGACTTGTAGTGATTCTCCTGTTTTCAGCCTCCCAAGTGCTGGGATTACAGCTATGCGCCACTACGCTCAGTCTCAGTCACTGTCTCAGTGCGCCCTGCAGGCGGGGCCGGCACGCACACAGGGGATCGAACCCAGGCCGCTGTGCTCTGCCTAAGCAGGAGCTTTAGTCCGCTGAGCTATCAAGCCAGCCCATAATGCTGAATCTTATGATCTTTGCCTGCTTTTTTTTTTTTTTGTGAGATATCCTTATAAAT